CATCTGGGAAGCATTACAATCACCACCAAACATGTCAAAGTTCAGCTGAAGTACTATATTTTTTACTCATATTTTTCTGCATTTATGTCTTTGGTTATGTTAATTTTGTTGTCTATCTTTACGTCAACTCTATATGGTTATTATTACCTTATTACCAACTCTTATTATTACCTTTTTTTGGGTACCGTACTAATTTTTAGGTAATTCAGAAAATATCTAGCCCTTATAAACTCAGAGTGACCTTTCCATCTTCTGATATCTACTGACAATGGTGATGATAGTGGCCAACATTTATTAAGCATTTACATGTGCCAGACAGCCTGCTAAGTACTTGTATGTACTACATTCTAACTGCTTTCTCATCATCTTTTATCATGGATATTTGTATATGTTTCTTCTTTTCCCTCCTAACTTACCAGGTCTTTGAGGACAGAATAAGAGTCCTGAGCCATTTCTGCTTTTCCCCAAGTCTAGCATAGAACCTGGCATGGAGCAAGTGCTACATAAATATTTGTTCAATGAATGAATGGATAGGTAGGGAGGCAGAATTAAAAGTTTACCTTTGTTTGAACAAATGGTTTGGAAGCATCCTTAAACACTTCAGAAGTACTCATTTATATCCACATAATTGATGGACTAAATTATAAATCATTCTGATCTTTTTATGACATAGGATTTCAGACTTTGGCTACAACATATTTTGTTAGTGCAGTTTGGATATGAAAATGAAAAACATATATACATGTAACAACAAAATTCCTTTTTATAAAATGATTTTTTAAATTCGGATGTCTTCTCTAGCCAATTATTATCAGCCATGTCTTACTTCTCTTCTCTCAGAAGTGAAAGTTTTGCAAGGGTTATAACATTAATATATATGATTGTTTGTTACTATCGATCTGCTGCTTCTTGCTCATCTGTTGCCTCTACTGCATAACTATAGGTACAGCTATGAAGACAGTAAGTCACTGCAGAGTACGCATGATCCAGGACTGACTGTCATTTACAAATACTCTTTGTTCTGCTGAAGAGTCCACACCTTAAAGGAGGCTGAGCCCAGATGGTTATGGATTTGGGTGCCACCCTGAGACCTAAAACTATCTTTTTCTTTTTACTTCCTGCAAGACCAAGAATGGAAAACTGATAGCCATAAAGGCCAGAAATAAGCATTTCTGAAAATCCTATTACAAATGGCTCAGTTTTGTTTAAGTGAGTAAGAACTGTAGTTTGTGAACAATTTTAATTTAAAATTCTGTAGTAATCCTAAACTAAGCCAATTCTTTTATCACATTTTCACTTTTACTTAAGTAAATACACATTCATTGTTCAAAACCAAGCCTGGTATAGAAACCGTGGGCTTACTCTTTCCTCCCCCACACTGAAGCATAGATTAACAGCACAAATTCTGACACCCTAACTGTCTTTCAGAACAGCTAGGTAAAAATTAGAAGATTAAGGGCACAATAGGAGAGGACTCCAAAAGTGGACCTGCTCAATCTCCATTACAAAGGCCAGGCTGTTGGCAGACTGCAGCATGTTTACTCAAAGCCTGTGCTATCAATTAGTCTGCTTAATTATCTCAGACTCTGCCAGTCCGAGAGGCTATTCTTAAAGGCCTTGAGGCTCTTCTTTGTCTTTTACTCTGGCTAAGGACAAGCTTTCCTTGACATTCTCAATCTAGCTAGTCTTTTGCAGCCAAAACAGGTATTATGTGAATTTATTACAATAAAGCAAAGTCACAGGTCCTACTTCTTGAGACAGGGTTGTAAGGTAGCATAGAAATTCTAATGTATGTAACAAAATGCCTGGACGGGCTGCTGTGGTTCATCTTCAGAAATAATCTGTCTATGAAGACAGGAGAACAGCACATGTGTAAACATTAAGTGTGAACACATCTGAGTGGCAGACTACCCCCTGCACTGGCTGTGGTTCTCAGGAAATGGTGGGAGACTGAAGAAGGACAAGACTAGTTAGGGATTATTTTTTCCGACTTTGAGAATAGTAGTTTATGTAAACTCTACTAGAATTTCCTAGGTAAATCATATCACAGAACCACCTGGAATTATTTTTACTTCCAGAATAATCTACTTTTGCAATAAAGCCTGTTAATAGAAATTTGCTAAGCAATTAAAGTTGGAAAAAGAAATTATATTGGGGGAATTAAGAATTTTTACTCTTAGAAAGAGCAAATCACTTATCAAACTACTTAACCTTCCCTAATTTGGAGACTGTAACATTTACTGCTCAACAATTGCAAGTCAGAAGCCTGGGGGTTCAGCTAGATTCTTTATCTCATCTCCCACATCATCTAACCCTTTGCAATCTTATTTATTCTACCACCTCTTAATATATTTGCTCCTCTCTATTTTCATTGAGTCTAGAGGCACGCAATATTATTCATGTGAACCATGATAAAGTCTCTTTGCTAATCCTTTGGCAGCATTCATCTCTACATTTTTTAGGAGTGCTCCTTCTGGAATAGAAATTTGATCCTATCCAAACAAGCCAGTGGCAGTAGGCCCCTGTTTTCCTTTGAGCCTCAAAAGAGCTAACATTTAAGGAGCTCAATCAATGGCCCCTTACTCTCCATAGTCACAAGGACATCAAATCGAACACAAAACACTACATAGTTTTAAATATCCATGTATTTTGGCTTGGGCTGTTTCCAAAGCAGATCTTTAAACAAGGATGTGGGTATAGATACATTCTTGTGTGTGTGAGAAGGTAGGGCAGGTGAAAAAGCTGAACAAGAAATTATGGATGAATACGCTATTGCTGGGAACCTTGTGAGACCGTGGTGAAAATATCTCAGAATCGTTCCACTGAGGGACAGAAAAGCTGGAGTATCACTCACTAGCTTCTTGTCCGAGGGTCACTCCTGTGTGTGTTAGTCCCCTAATCTTGGGCAGGGAACAACCTCAGGTGGAGAAATAGGATTGTCAGGCAGGTTAAAGGCAGCAATTCTGTCTGCTTTACCATATACTGCAGTCATTTTCCTTCTACTTGTCTGGCACACTTGAAGAGTCAGCCTACTGTCAGGGTGAGGTGGGCTATGTCTTTTAATCTTGGCATTGGAGAGGCAGAGGTAGACCAATCTCTGTGAATTTGAGGACAGCCTGGGCTATATAAGGAGTTCCAGGCCAGAGGGGCAACAAAGTGAGACTTAGTCTCAACAAAATCCCCAGACTTCAGCCTACTGAAGTGTTTTAACTTTCTCTTGGGGTGCTTTCCTTCCCTCTGTGCACAGTCTCTATTACTGCAGTGATTAGTTTGTATGTCTAACTGCACATGTTAATATATGTGTTAGCCTTCTGAATAATATTACATTAAGTGTAGAGATGGAAGCACCCAGGTTAAAACCTTGAGTCCTAATTCAATTCAGTTTGGCTCAGTTCTTTCCCTATTGAAATGAGATGGTAAGACTTTTAGATTGCTTTCAAGTGCCACAGACTTTAGATGACTGAAATTGTGTAACACAAGGTAAAGATCACAAATTATACACCAACCACATATACTTACCATGGTGATGGTCATTTAAAATTCAAAATGAGCACAGGCAACATAGACAAAATGCTGGCAAGTTTGCAATACTGTGCATTGCAGATAAGAGTCAGGACCCAAAGGGGTTTGTTGTCTGAGAGAACAGCAGGTAGGAACTAAGTGCACAGAGTGGTGCCTGAAACTGGTTTCAATGCGCAGACAGAGCTGTTTCTGCCCCAGACTCTTCCCAGTGTTGTAGCAACTACTTCCTGATTCTATTCTCAGAAAGGCAGGCTTTGTCTACATTCCTGGATAGAAAGTAACTATGTGAGACACTCAACACACGTTATCTTTGCTCTCCTGAAGTCTCAGACAGTTTTAATCTTCCTATGAATGTCACAGAGGTGAGGGACTGGGTCAGAGTAAGGAAGATTAGGTGGGTTTAGGGATCCTATTTGCAATGGACTAAACCAATGTTCATTTTAGAAGAAATGCTTTTCTCACAAATCACTGTGCACACTTGCATTCTGTGTATCATGGATGCAGGTGGGGCAGAGTTAAGAGGCTAGATTTTATAAGCTTCAAATAACTTGTTTTCTTTATGAAAAACTTTTAAAATATACAGTGAAAGAAAATCCGAAATACAATTAAGTGCTGTTTAGATTTTAATTTTAAGTAAACTACTTTACTGAATGCTTTTGCTATGCTTCAGGGATGTATCATATTCCTATCAAAACACCAAGTCATTATTGTGGATGACTCACACTCAGGAGATTCCCTGCCCTTTCTGGAGAACTGTGATTTTTTAATTAATTAATTTTATGTGTGTGTGTGTCCTGAGCACATGCATGCAACAATGCACACGTGGAAGTCAGAAAACAAGTTTGTGAGTCAGTTCTCTCCTTCAACCCTGATTGATCCAAAGTCAGGCCATCAGGCTTGTGTGGGCTTTAACCCTGAACCACCGTGTTGGCCCGGGAATGATCATTTCTGAGGACACCATACAGGGCAGTGCTCAAGTCCACAGTACTTTCTGGCACGCTGCTTTGATGGCAGCCATGAGTTACAAGTGTCTCCAGGGAGCTACTGTTGTTGGACGACTCTTTTGTTTCGGTACTTTGTTGGAAGGAAAAGTAGAGAAAATAAAGTTTAGGAGATTAACTAAAAGGTGGTAAAGGCAGCAAGATTTCTTACTGGTGAACTGTGCTGTTCTGGGCTGACGGCCTGATCTGGCTTGGTATATGATTTGTCATAGACTAACTGCCAGAGAAGCACTTGACACCTCTGGATCTCAGCAGAAGGGGAACTGGATAATTCATGTCTTTAGACAGTCAAGTTCATGACAACAGAAAGCAGACTTTGGCAGGAATATGTATCCCACCCTATGAAAAATGTAACCCATGTCAATGTAGAAAACAAATGACAAGGGAAAGAGAGGGGATGAGCTGAGTGAGTAATGCACAGTAGTGAAATACAAAGATAGGCAAAACTTAAGAGATGCTCCAACATACGAGTCTTACCTTCCAGTGACAGCAAAACATAGGGCACACATCCCACGTAAGAATCCTGTGGCATGCTGCAGAAATGTGGCCATCTTGGGATTCTCATCCACTGGGCCTTGCACTGAGAGGAAGCAGCCATGCAGTCTGTCAATCAGACCCATGTTCACCACATAGCTAGTGAGAGAGAGCAGTGTGTCTCAATTTGCACAGGTGACAATGTCTTCATTTTCCATGATAAATCTTACCACATCCAGGTTTGGATACCTCAACATGCAGACAGAACACAGGTTTGAATAAAGCAACTTGTGAACCAATGGTCTAGGATTTGAAATAATCGGCTATTCTCTAACCACTTCCCTGTTCTGAAGAATTTGATGACAGGTGAAAACATTTGTAATGAGCTTACAGTCTTTTCCCCCATTTCAAACAAGGTTTCTCTGTGTAGCCTTGGCTGTCCTGGAACTTGTTCTGTAGACCAGGCTGGCCTCGAACTCATAGAGATCCACTTGCCTCTGCCTTCAGAGTGCTGGGATTAAAGGCATGTGTCACCACCACCTGGCTACCGTCTTATCAAGTAGTACTATTTTAAGGATTAGGGAACCAAATTCGAAACAACATAGGGGTTTAGAAGACAAAATGATGCTTTCCAGATATACTTTGAAAAATTAATTTATTCTTTGATAATTACACACACACACACACACACACACACACACACACACACACACACACA